TAAAGAGGTTCTTCCAGATAAACTCTGAGACACTGTCCTGACGTTAGCTGCAGAGATGTCATAGGTTACTTTAGGAAATGCATTTCAGGATGCATTTGCTAGTGTAGAAGCAGATTGTGGTAGTATGGAAGGGAGTGAGTAGTAAGAAGACCCACTCAGGTAAGTGCTTCATACCCCAACAATCAAACAACATCTAGAAACTTGGCTCTGTAGGGAATGAGATAGCCAGAATTGTCTGGACGTTGAGGGATTTTGCCATTTAAGTGGAGAGAGCCCTCATTGTATGAGACAGAGAGGGGCGGGGGAGAAAGGGGAAAGGGAGGAGAGAGAAATATTGATTGAAGACACAGGCAGAAAGGGCACTGCTGATGGAGTGAGGTCTCTCAGGAGGCCAAGAGGGCTGACAGCCAGAGCTCTGTGTCATGAGACTTGGCATCCAGAGAAATTATACTGAAGCCTGCACAGAATACTGATTTGTAACCCAGCTGGGAATCGACTTACTTTGTCCTCATAAATCTAAAATTTCTCAAACAATATACAGAAGTAACAAAATGTTTTTTTAAATTGTTGAACCAGGTCAAGAGAAATTGTTAAGTTGAAGACATGGTAAGAAGTAAATGGAACAAAGCCCTCAAAGGATAATCTCAGGGTTGTCATCCTAAAGGGAGGAACATTACTGGGCAAGTACTAGCTAGAATCTAAGAGCTATTGCTGAGGGGCTGTATACTAGTCATTGAGTAGATGCATGGTTTATATCAGCACCATTCTAGACAGTAGGAAAAAAATTAAATAGATGTTTATCTTAAAACACCTGTGTTGTGCACATCGCATGTGCACTTGGTTGGATTTGATTTGTTGCTATCGATTTGCCTTCACCAGGTCCAATTCTTAAATTGTTATCTGGATAGCAGTGTGATGCTTTATGCTGATAGACTTACATTCTCTTGCCTGATTACCAAGATGTTCAGGACATCATGTAACCTATAATGGTACTGGCTAGAGTGAGGTCTGGTAGGGAGTGGTGGGGGAAGGGAAGGAGTTATTTATTTATTTATTCATACGTGACAACACTAAACAGCTTGAATATGAATAAAATTTTGTGTTTTGGCCTTATTGAGGAGCTAAGATGAATTAACTGATTATGATCTAATCTACCAAATAACGCTGGTGAAGTGAAGACTAAAGAATTACAAAGTAACTTTCTGATATCTTAAGCAAGTTACTAAAAATGTCTACTATCAGTGAATAAATAAATATTCATAAGAGGATCCCAAAAGTGAAGGAACAGGGAAAATAAGACCTGTGTGAAACTAAATTAGAAAAAGGAGAAGACTGAAAGGATGAGGTTACAAAACTAAATATTTACAAAAAATTGTGATCAATCCAAATGATGCAAGAAAAGGTAAAAACCACACTAATTTCTTTGTGTGTACATATATATATATATATATATATATATGCACACACATACACACACATATATATATCTGTTTCTACAACTTTTTTGGCTTTTCCTTCAATATTTAGTGATTAAAAACATTGATCATACAGAAGCATTGACAAACAGTGCACTGTACACCTGTATACTTATCACTTAAACTCAACAAGTGCTGATATTTTTCCATATTCACTATCATCTATCTACAGTGTCATTTGAAAATTTGAAAGTTACAGATTGCAGTTTACTCCTAAATACTTTAATACACATTTCTTTTTTTAAAAAGGCATTCCATATCCTCTCAGGATTGTATGAACAATGTAGAAACTCCTTTCTGCTTAAACATTTCTTGAAGTTTAGAAAAGCAGAAGACAGTTTCTGTTATGTATCTATTACTGGATGTCAAACCATTCCAAATTTACAAGTTATTTTCATTTTTGTGGGCTCACCATTGTGTGGGATTAGAAATCCAAGCAAGTTTGAGTGATTCTTCTACTTCATGTGGTAGTAACAGAAGCTGCTTGGTATTTAATTTATGGTGTGGATGGCCTGGGGTCCAAGAAGACTTCATCCATTTATCTGGCATCTTAGTGGGGACCATTTGTTAGAAGGATGGGTCTAGCTAGGCCCTCTTCTCTGCCCTCTCCTCTTAGGGTCTCTCTCCAGGATTTCTTACATGCAGCTCAAGGTTTAAGATCAGTGGTTGTAAAAGACAGTAAATGGATTTGCCTGGGCCTAAAATTAGGCACAATATTACTTCTGCCACATTCTATAGGTCACCGCTATCACAGAACCTTCCCAAATTCAAGAAGAGGGGACATAGAGCCCATCTCTTTATCCTGGGATTGTTAAATAATTTGTGGTATTCTTTAATCTGCCATGAAAACACTTGAATACCATAGGATTGAAAAGGCTATATTTCAAAGAGGCATAGTATATACCTCTATGTATCACATACTTCACTAAAGCTATGGGCTACTTTTAGCCTTTAAGCTGGAGAAGTTTTAAAGAACCTTCTGAATTCATTATTTGGACAAAGGTGGACTTGGAATATTCCCTTCCAGTTCTATGAGTTGCTTCCAATGTACGTTCATCTCTGTTATCCCTGATACAGTAAAGTCAGGAGCTATAACGTGTTAGTCAGTTGCTACTTAAATCTCTACCTGACTCTGGCTTCTGGAGAATCCACCCTAGACAAGACACGGATAGACAAGTTTCTCCCTATCTGCGTATAACCGTGTCTTTAAATCTGTTCTAAAACTTTGCAAAAATAGTATTGCTTCATACTGTTACATACTAAATCAAGTGTCCTATAAATTGCATTTTTGTTAAATGTGTGTGGTATATACAGAGAGAGAGAGAGAGAGAGAGAGACAGAGACAGAGAAAGGGGGAGCAGGCTGAGGAGAAGCAGTAGGCAGATGCTAAGGAGTTTGTGTCTTTAGGTAACATTATTGTGTCTTGCAGTTTCCAATATAGTTCAAGAAAGTTTAATTTTTGATTGTTACAAGATATAAGTCAGATGCTCATCCTTTTTAGCAAGTTGATATGGGTTTCAGTGATATTGGAGGATAGTAACTAATTATATCTTAGATTAATATGTTAATTATAGCTAATTATTCTACATTACAAAATTTAGAGGGTAGGCCTTAATTCTTAATAGGATATGCAGTGTGTAACATTTCTAGTAAATCTTTTTGTTTTGATATGAATAATTAGAAGGCTAATAAAGAAGGAAGACTGCAACCACTTCCCTTTCAAAAGTTAGAGAGTTCAATCACTGGGAAAAGCTGAGGTAGCTGATACATTTATAACTTTGTGTCAAACTAAGCAACACAGAAGTGCTCCCTGATTATAAGAGGTAGTGTATTAGGGCAAATGTATCCCTAAACTCCAAGTATCTAAATATTGTTCTTTATAAAATGATATTTTGACTTTCCTGGTGCCAGGAAAATGATAGAAATTTTTATTCTAATCTGAAAAATCTGCTCCAGTACTAACCGAAGAAATTGCACGGTTATTTGTAGGGCACTCAAGAGCTCTTAAACTCCATTACAGAAAAGATCCATTTCCGTTTCCTATTAGGACAGTAATCGGCTTCACTTTCCAACAAAGCTGCATCTCCTGGCAGTAAGACGGAAGACAGCCAGTAGTAGTTCAGAGACAGATTGCTCTGCGGACCTTGAAGCTGCCAAGGGCTGTGTAATCCCGAGGAGAATGGCGAGGGGGGCAGGCGTAGGCCGATGTCTTGGGTTCACCTACAAGAGAGAATGCAGTTTTTTGGAGAATATGGTGTCTGGAGATAGAGCTCTGGGCGGCTGCTACCTGTTCACTTTTCACCGGGGAAGGTGCCCTGGGAAGTTGAGACAAACGTAATTAGCACACAAATGTATCAGACACGTACTTTCAATCAGCTGATAGCAAAGAAATCGTCTGTCGGGCTGAGGGCTGTTGTTCCCCTCTCTTACCAGGGTGTCGTAGGTGGTGGTAAGCCCACGCGTCCCGTGTCTCTCTATCCGCGCTCCCGAAGCCTCGGGATCACTTTGGGCTCTGCGAACATTTGGGGAGAGCCGGGAGTGTTGTCTGGATGTCAGGCGTTCCGTGAGAGATGAGCGAGGAGTAAGTAAGGAGAGTCAGCACACATCACCTGCCAGCCCCGGCGGAGAGCAAACCCCAGCGGGGATGCGGGCCAATCCCCCCCTTCCCACCGCAGGTTCTTAATGAATAACCACGTCATCGTATTTGCATACCATTTATTGGGGTCGGTTTCTAATTCCTCTTCATTTGTAGCTAGGATTGCCCGGAGGAGGAGAGGGAGAGGGAGAGGGAGAGAGAGGGAGAGAGAGAGACAGACAGACAGAGACAGAGAGACAGAGAGAAAGAGACAGGACAGAGAGAGGGGGGAGAAACGGGAGAGGGAGAGAAGGAGGAAGGTAGGGAGAAGGGGAAGAGAGATAAAAGGGGAGAAGGAGAGAGCAAAGAGAAAAGGAGAGAAAGAAGGGGATAGAGGAGAGAGAAGACAGAAGAGGGAGGGACCGAAGGAGGGAGGGAGAGGAAAGAGAAAAGGGGAGAGGAGAGAGAAGAGAGAGAGGAAAGAGAAGGGAGAGGGGAAAGAGGAGGGGGAGGGAAGAAGAGAGGGAAAGAGGGAAGGGGGAGGGGGGTGAGGGGGGGGGGGGGAGACCGAGCCCGAGCACTCCCGCGGCAGAAGCGCGGAGACTCCGTTCGGCCGTGATTTCGGAAGAGCCCCGCGGGTCGGGCCGTGGGCAGCGCGAAGAGACCTCGCCCACGTGGGGCAGGCCAGGTGGTGGTATTTAGGGGGTGGGCAGGGCCGCCGGAGACGAAAACCAGCTTTTGGGGGTGGGGGGCGGTTGGAGGGAGAGCTGAGCTTCGGGGTGACCCGCGTCCCGCAGAGCCCCCAGCCCCCACCGTCCACCCCTCGGGTGCGCGCTGGCGGCGGGGCGGGCGCCTGTCCCTTTAAGGGGCGTGTCCCTGGGCCCGGCCGGCCCGGACGCCGGGACGTGCGGGAGGCCGCCCCGCCCCGAAGCCTCCCGTTTCCTGCGGGGCGGCGCGGCGGCACCTGAGCGTCTGCGGCGGCGGCGGCGGCGGCGGCGGCGCCTCCGAGTGGGCAGCCCGGGCTGCGGTGTGGGCGCCGCCGCGTCTTCCCGGTGTCCTCTCCCGGCCGCGCAGGGTGAGGGCCCACAGGCCGCCGCGCTGGGTCGGGCGCCGGCCGCGGGGTCGCCGGGCAGGGCCGCGTCGGGCGGGGGGCGCGGCTGAGGGGGCCGGCCGGGTAGGCCTCGGGCGCCCGGCCGGCGCCTGAGGGGTCCGGCGCGGGCCGCGTCCCCTCGCCGCGGACGGGCGGGCGGGCGGGCTCCGGGGCGGCCGCCGCGGCCTCGCCGGGCGGCTTAGGCCCGACTGCTGCCGGCTCCGCGGCGCCCGGGGGCTGCTCGGGGACGTCTCCCGAGGGCGAGGGCGGCCCGGGAGGCCTCGGGGTGACCGAGGGGACTATTTTTAGCCGGGCCCGAGGGCCCCCGGGAGGCCAGGCGGATTACCGCCGCCGGGCGCGGGGACGGAGAGAGGGTGCGTCCCCCGGCGGCGCCCGCCCCGGGCCGGAGCTGGGCCACGCTAACGCCATGCTGGAATTCCATCCTCCCCCCCATCCCCCCCATCCTCCGGGCCACCGGCCCGAGGGGCGCACGCCGTCCCCTCGCCCTGTGCGCGCCGGGGTCGGGGTGGGTGGGGCGGTTGGAGACGGGAAAGCAGCTTGGAGGGAGAGTTGGGTGGTGTGTGTGTGTGTGGGGGGGAACCCCGCGGATCGGGCGGGGAATCAATCGAGCGAAGTTGTCCCTTCCCGTCTCCGAGGGGTGTGTCTTCCTCAGTGGGTCCTCCGCCCCCTCCCCCCCATCACTTTACAACGAGGACCTCGCGGAAAACCCCAGTGGCTGTGGAGATGCAGACCTAGGGCGAGATGGACCCGGCACCCAGCGTGGGAAGTGCAGCCCCGCACGTTGGTGAGGGAGCGTGAGTGTGCGGGGCGGAGGCGGAGGCGAGGAGCGGCGCCCTGCAGCCCGGTCCCCGCTGGTACCTCCGAGCAGGTTCAGAGTGAGCTCTTTTGAATGTGAGCCAATCCTGCAGGGAGGTGAAAGGAAACCGGATTCGTAACTGTGCTGGGCCTTTACCTGAAACGTTCTCCACCCTCTCCCCCCCCCCCCCCCCTTCCCCAGCAGACCTTTTGAAATAAGCAGTGCTTAAGAAGCTACAGTTGAAGTTAACTGTTACAAGTTGGGCTATTGGAGATGCTTGGTGGAAAGCCTTGAGAGATCATTGCTAGACACCTATATAGCCAGCTAAAGATAAACCTTCCTGGAATGAGCTAGCTACGTTGAATTGTGTAGTACACTGAGTTCATTTCAGTTTCCCTTAACTCCTTGCTGGTGTTCTCTGTACCTCACCTATTAGGCAAATGGTAACTGCCAGTTTCCCAAGTTTGGCTAAAAGCCCTTGCCAATGAGAGTTAATATTAAAAAAAAAAAAAAAAAATCTCAGGAACAGCAACTCATGATCCGATCTGTATTTTGTGTATTCCTTGCAGTAGACTTTTAATAGTTGATGTGTTTACTTTAATTTTTTTTTTAAATTTTAGTTCCCTCCTTTCAGAGATACAAAATAGCTGGGCCTATTGTTTGTAGGTTCCATCTCCAACCTTGAGTTAGAAATGTCTCTTCTAATTTTGTAGCTCTCAGCAGACTGTCTCAATTATCAGGTGCGTTTAGAGAATAAGATGTTCTACTTAATTTACTGAGGCACACTGAGACAAATGTAGCAAGACCTGTTGAAAATGTCTCAGAATTATTAAGGCAATCCCATATTGAACTTTTTCAGGGTCAGCATTATGAAAAGCCATTCATTTTTGTTTTATTAAATATCGAGATAGTTTATAAATATTAAGATATTTCTGTGTTCTCCTTTAGTATGTCTCTTCTCTTTGATGTAGTGTTTTTCTCTTAAAAAAAAAACCACCCCAAGCCAGTTTATAAACCTACTAGTTTACAGGCTTTAATTTGCTTTTGTTAGGGAGAGGCATTTTAAGAATTAAATACTAAAAATCAGTTGCACCTTCTTTCTAAAAATGGCCTAAAACGTGAAGGTTTATTGTAAGGCTTAATTTTGAAGGACACAGGAAAGATTGTGATTGCTTGAAAGTTCTTTTACTTGATACACACACACACACACACACAAACACACACACACTTTTTGTTGTTGTTTTCTTTAAAAGTACTGTTAGTCACAGCCCTGGAATATTTCATTTGTGTGCTTTCAGTAGTTTTCTATTGCAAAGAACACTTGAGTTAAAAAGATTTCCCATAGTTTATAGTGCTTAAAAATGTTAATAAATTTAGTGGAGAGTTTGGCTTTGGTATCTGACCTAACAGTTAATAAGGAAATGCAGAGACAGTATGCTTTTCAAGAATATGTTTGATGATATAGAATGAATAAGGTCTTAAAAATATATTTGAAATATTTGAGGTAACATCTGATCTGCTTGTTCTGTGTACTGTTTGTAGTTTTAGTTCCTTGGAAAGTAAAATTCAGGGTATATGAAGAGGCAGGAAATGATACTAAACAGTTGTGAACAAATGGCCTTGAATTAGTTCTCTTTGCAGTTTTTATGAACTGAATGTTCTGATGTGAAAAATGCAATTTATATGTAAATCACTGAGAAACCATTGGTTTGAAGAAGAGTATGTAACTTTATTTCTATAAATAGAAAATCAAACACTAGGAGAAAGAAGTTTTAAGTGCCCTGAACTAAGAGGTTTGATAAACTTCTATATCTGAGGTCCAGAAGAAGAAAAGTAGTTTGTGTGTCAGATAGCTGAATGTTGCTTGCATGGATTTTTGGTTTTTGAGAAGGTGATGTTGTATAAGCTATTTCTTTTTTCCTTTGAAAAATGGTGTAGACCATGAATTATTTTTATGTGGTGGTCGTTTTGGGACTTGAATTTGGCCTGGACATTGTCACTGAGCTTCTTTTTTGGCTCAAGGCTAGTGCTCTACCACTTGCGCCATAACTTCACTTTTGTCTTTTAGTGTTCTACTACTTAAACCAAGCTTCACTTTTGGCTTTTTTAGTGGTTAACTGGAGATAATCTCACAGACTTTCTTCCCCAGGCTGGCTTCAAATCATGATCCTCAGATCTCAGCCTCCTGCGTAACTAGGATTACAGCCAGCCCATTAGTGTTGACTGGTACATTTTTAATATGAAGGAAGGTTGGTTTTAGTAGATACTCTAGTGAAAAGTATCATCTTCCTAGGGAGTAACTTTAAAAGGTTGTTTTTGTATTTTACATACCTTTTTTCCTTCCTTTTTTACTGAGGATTGAACTCAGTACAAATGCATGCCAACCAAGTGTTCTACCACTGAGCTACATCCCTAGTCCTGTACATATGTTCTTTACTACAGGCTAATTAGAACTTTTTAAACACAGGTTAAATCTGGTTTGTTTTAAAAATACAGCAAGTAAATTGTTTATACTCCTTTTTTGTTGTTGTTCCAGAATACTCTGCTTTTGGTGTCTTTCCTTCTTACTAATTGCTTTTCACATTTCTTTCTAGGTCTTTGTTCCCTTTTTTAAATTGCTGGGTCTGTGCCTGGGTGCTGTCCCTGAGCTGCTTTTGCTCAAGACTTGAGCCACTTGAGCCACAGCCCCACTTCTGGCTTTTTCTGTGATTTAATTGGAGACAAGAGGCTCATGGACTTTCCTGCCTGGGCTGGAACCACTATCTTCAGAGCTCAGCCTTCTGAACAGCTAGGATTACAGGTGTGAGCCACCGACTCCTACCTCATTTTTCTTTTAATATTTCTTTGGCTATCTTATCTTGTATTGTAGCTATTAACAACCACATTTACATCCTCATAGTTTTAAATACTCATACTTACATCCAACTTTTCTCTGCATTCTAGTCTGCTCGGGGACTGTCCTTTTTTATGTGTAATAGTGAATTCAAACTAAGTAAACTTCCATATTTCTCCTTAACCTACCTCAGGTTCAGCTTAACAGCAACTCTAATGTTGTGGCAGAAAAACATTGGGCATTACCTCTAACAATCTTGTTCACACTTGTCCTGCTGTGCTCTTTAATATATTTGGAATCAAATCACCTCTTACCACTTCTGCTGCTCACTAGCCTAGTCCAAGCCATTGCTATCTCTTGCCTAGATTTTTGTAGTTTCTCTCTTACGTCTTGATTTTATACTAGCTCCCTACAGTCTGATTATATCATTTTTTTAAAACCCTGCAGAAACTTGTAACTAGTCCATAAATAAATCTGTAAGGCCTTACTGAATTTGGATGCTCTGTCTCTCATACTTCTTAAGTTTAGCTACTTCCCCCACCAACCTCCTCTTTTTTTCTTCCAGTCTCTCTGAATTGGATCACTTTTTCTTAGGATATTTGTATGCTAGCTCCCTTGTCTCCTTTGCTCATCAAATGCCACTTTTTCAAAACTGATTTCTAATTTTGTGTGTATCACCTGTTTTTCAGAAAAAAGATAATTTCTTTGTTAATTGTTATTGTCACTTTCCCTCCCCCCTAAACATACACTATAATACAACCTGTATGAGAGCAGGACTTTTTGTCTTTTTCTTTTTGTACCTGTCCTGGAACTTGAACTCAGGGCCCAGCTACTTTCCCTGTGCTTGTTTTTTTCTTTTTTTTTTTTTCCCTCAAGGCTTGTGCTCTACCCTTTGAGCCACAGGCTCCACCTTTGGTGGTTAATTAGAGATAAGAGTCTCATGGACTTTCCTTCCCCTGACTGGCTTTGAACCGAGATCCTGAGATCTCAGCCTTCTGAGTAGCTAGGATTACAGGATTGAGCCCCTGGTGTCCACCTTTATTTATTTTTAAAAAGGTTTATTAATATGTTCTAAAAGTTTTGGATATCATACATGTGCTTGGTAAGGACTTATAAATGAATGGATTAAATCATTATCCTCTATTTCCTTTGATGGCAACTGCATTCTTTTATACACGTAGTTTTCATACTTATTTTCCTAGGAATCATTGGAGAGCAGAATCGAGTGTCAGGGAACCTTTTGGGAAGGAAACCTTTGGTGGACGGAGTAAACATTAGGGTGTGTTGTAGACCCTCTTGCCCAAACTATATAATTTAGATCATGATTAATTAATT